GCATGAGGAACACGTTTTTTTTTTTGTTTTTTTTTAATTTGCAACTGGAAATTGAGAGTTGAGATGAAAAAAAGAAATCACTAAAATGGTTCCTCTGCACTTTATTACCTGTAGTTTAAGATCATGGTGGGGGGGGGAAGTTGTGCAATGGTGACCTTTGTGCAGCTGCAGTTAAATAAGCTATGACTGTTTTAATTCTGAAGACTAGCAACATCTACGATCAGACCGCAGATAAAGAGGTGTAGGTGTGTGAAATTGCAGTTAGACACTTCGTGTAGCTCCCTTCACAGCTTCACAGGGGTTTCAAAGTTTCGTTAAGCTCATTAGCCGGTTGAGAACAATAAAGCTTGTGCAGGAATGTAAAATCTGCCATGTAGAATAATAACTGAGCCAATCGCAGGACCCACATGGTGTCAGGGTCTGCTTCACATGCTGGTTGCAAAAAACAGTTGTCCACTGAGTGATTAAGAACACAGAGTTTAATCAGCAGCTTTAAGGTGAAAAGGCAACAACATGCCACTTTTTTTTAGCAACATATTGTGGCATAACTGTCTTCAGCGGGGCGTGAATAGTGGTGAACAGTTACTGGTTTATCTAACGACACTACAAGCTGGTGCGTTTGATTAATTGTTGATCTGAGACGTGTTAATATTGTTTGAAATTAAGTACTATTTTTGCATTTAAATCAAGCCTCGGGATTTTGTTCTCTGTGGGTTTTTTCAAGGTGTACACAAGGAGATTTCACAAATGGGGCATTCCTGTGCACACATCTAAAGGCATTTCACAGTTTGCTGGTGTTTTTCTCAGTAAGGGCTAACTTAATTTCCTTTTCCTGTTCATCAAACAACAAAGCCAATGTTTTTTTCTTAATTAAAACGTCAATTGATCCTTCTGGGAATGTTTTTTAAATGGTGCTTTTAGTTGACCTTGCCTCATTTAACCGTTTTTTCGTTCTTGTTTCATTTTGTCACAAAATATATGAAATGAAACAAACAGCATAAGCATTTCTAACACGTTGACCTTTTCTCAGCGTTTGTTACTCACAGGTTGGAGCGATGAGAACGGTTTCTTTCTCAGCTTTGAGAGTGCACACGCAATCAAAATTAAAACAACTCTTCTCCTGTAAACCATGCTTAATAAAGCAAACAATTTTCTTCAAATATACTATTTACAAGGCTTTTTTTAGAGCATACAAAAACATAATTATATAATTGATATATGCAAATAGTATTTCTTGTATATAAGGAAAGCGGGAACAGCCTCAAGCACATCCTGATGAAGGTGAGATAGCCAAAAATGTTTGGAGAAGAGTTGTGCAACATGTTTTAATTTAGATGGAATAATAAAAAAAAAAAAGCCCATTTGGTTTTCTTGTAGGATATATCGTATAATTCTCGTCATTAAGCAGTGCTGTTGGTCAGGTGCACTCATAATGTGGCTTGCTATAACTTTGTTGAGTTTAATTTCCTGCTCACAGAACCTGACTTACCCTTTCAGAGGAGCCAGCTGTGTTCCCTGCCAAGCTGCAGTACACAGGGCCCATGCTGTCTCATACTTCACACTCGCCCATTAAATCCAGCTACTTAGGATGCAATAACTGTAACCAACTGCAAAAGACAGCCTCCGTCTATTAACCACAACAACTGAACCCTGACTTGGCACTTTTATGATTTAACTTGTGTGTCACTGTGTATATTTGTTTTTTTTTTTTATTATCCTTAGTCATAATTGGCTTTAATTTATTCTCCATATCAGCTTTTAAAGGGTTGAAATATGGGTTTGCTCAGGGCTTGGTTCTGGTATGTTAAAGTGAGTTATCTCAGGCTGTCAGTACCTAGGGCAGATTTTTAAGGTAATGTTGATGGGAAGGTCTCCAGCAAGAGACAAAGACCAATACCAGGGTTATTAATTAGTGATTTTAAAGTGCAGGCTGTGTTTTATTTATTCAGTGCGCTTTATCATTGTAAAGCAAACACACACTTTATTAATCTTCCTTTTCTCTCCTGCTCTTCCCAAACAGAGAAATCGTCAGACAAAAAGGGAAATTTAGAAAGGGATAAAGGTTCTAACAGTGGCACACAGAAGTCCAAAACATATTCCAGCCCCGAGAGGTAAGGTCCTTTTTATTCATTCACAAGTGGGAGCTCTCGAAAACTAAACCACAGTGGTAGACGGGGTCTTAAAATGTTCGATCTCTGAAGTGAAAGTAAAGGTTTCCTGTGGAACTTTCTTGTATTCAAATGTCATTTCTGTTTGTGCGTTAGCAGAATGTGTTGTTTATTATAGTAAGTAAGTAGTGGAATAGCGTAAAACCATTTGCAGCAATCATTCACTGTGTGTTTGGGTGAGTGCACGATAACAAGTAAACATAAAAACACTGCCCCAAAGTCCTACTATAGGTCAAAACTTTACAGGGTACCTTTTGATATATATTTAAGATTTACTGAGTAAAGCCTAAAACATGAAATACATAATTCAGGTGTAAAATGTAGGTAATAATAAACAGAGTCAATGTTGCATACTTGTAATAAAATAATTGTAAAGTACAAAAAAAGGTGAATTTCAGTTATTTGAGTACTTTCCTCCACCTGATTTGGAACAGATACTGTGTTATGTAGCAGCTCGCTGATGAAAGTTGTTACATTTTAAATAGCTAATTTGTTCGGTTGTTTAACTCAGAAGCCACTGCTGCCACTCTTGGAATGAGGCCTATACTCTAAGATGGAGTTTAGTTACAGCATATTCCTGGAATATTACAGGGTCTAGGCATATTACATTTCTTTCTCTCCCCTCAGCCTCATTCCATATTGACGGCATGGAAATCGAGCTTCTCTGCATAGCATGGGCTCCTGTTGACACTGTGGTGATCTACTGTACATTAGGCTGTCGGGAGCAGAGTGTAATGTCTCTCTTATGCCATCATTTAATTTAAGCTTTTAGGAGAGATACGGTTTGATGGTTAGGCCTGCGTCCATCCTGAATGTGAACTGGCAACTGTACATAGGTACTTGGGTAGAGAAATCTAAACGACCAAATGATGATCATCTGTTCCCCTCTGAAATCACACCAGTGTAACAAAATGACCCCGTTTCTATCTTGGTCCGTCTCCACTCACACCCACGCCTAACTGCTATTCCTTATCTCCTGGTTTTCAGTCAGGGCATCTCCAGTCGAGAGGACCGGGATGACCTGGTGCGCTCCTCCAGTCACACCCCGTCTAACAAAGCTCAGATACTGGCCATGCCACAGTTCGGCCTGCGCGACAACCTTATTAAGTGCGAGCTGCTGAAGAATGAGGACCTGTACACTTATCTGGAGGATTTCAGGTATTTTACTGCTTGTGTCAATTTTGAGTCTTTGTTTGATGTGTTTGGCAGATTGTTGCCGGCAAATGGGCGTAGCACTAGCTGATCTTGATATAATTGAATATCCCATCACTGTCAACATAGAAAATCTAACATTTTTTGCTTCCTTGATATCAATAATGTGTTGACACTTTGGGTGGGGTAATATATGCTTTAATGGTGCTTTAATACTAATCTAATCTAGCGGAGTGTTATGGTCTTTCACTGTTCATTTTGCTCAGCCTGAAACAGTGAGAAAGTTGTACAGCATAATGTATTGGAGCATTTAGAACCAAGTAAAAGCAACATTTGACATATAGCACAATATTACAATACCTAAACTCTTTTTAAGCCTCATATTCCTACATTTGCAATATAATGAGTTGTTGCCCAGTTCTACATGTGAACATTTTTGAAAAACCAAAACAAAAGGCATGGCAAGTCAGGTTATTTTTTTACACTGTAGAGTTGGTCAGTCAAGTAAAATAGTTTCTAAAAGTTTGTGCTGGAACAGTGTAAGCCACCAGTGTAACTGTGAGCAAGTTTGGACCCTAGAAGTGTTATGTAAAAAGAATGAGTCAACATCTGTGGGTTTGTGTTTCTGTGTACTTAACTCTGTTCTAAATTAAGCACAACTGTCTGTCTCAGACACCGTCAAGAAAGGAACCAACCTAGTGCATTAACATTCTGGACCTCATTTTTTATTTATTGTAGGAATTAATATCCTTGAAGACGCATACAGTTTTACTAAGGGCTTTTTGTTTCTATCAGATGGTTGAAAAATAAGCATTTGCTGAAGTCAGCATCATGGTTTAGCTAATAACAACACTGCCTCCTGCTGGTGTATCTGTGGCAAAATATTTACACCCATATAAATTATATAGTAAATCATATAATATGTATAATATAATGGGAATGGAATAAGGAATCTTAAGTATGAAATGTTAAAATACATTAGTTAATGTGGTATAAAGAAAATAATAGGGAAATGCTCTATTCACTGTGTTAAAACATGCAAATGTTTTACTGATATTCAGTGTAAAATTGGAAAACTATGGGAATATCAAGAAGCACTCTATGTGGCATTGGCAGCATGTTGGCTCAGTGGATGGTACTTCTTTCCTGACACCAAAAAGGTGTGTGTTTATAGTCTGATTCCTGTTGATTTCTGCATGGAATTTGCATGTCAGTACATGTTTCCCCTGCTTTCCTCCCACATCCGAGACATGAGGCCTAGGTTAATTGGGAACTTTTTCTGTAGGTGTGAGTCTGTTACGTATGTGACTCCCAGGTGTTTACTCACCTTTTGCTCAGAGCATGTTGGGAAGGCGCATGACCATGGAAAAAATGGAAATTCTGGATATTTGTATCTGGAAATTTACATATGTAAATAACTTAGTTGTAAGTGGGTGTGCTGATTGGCTTATAAGCTTGAATAGTTGCCTTTATCAAAAACAGCAGATATACAGGAAAGGTTACTTTTTGCTGGGACACATGTGCATTGCCAGCCTTCAGCTCATATTACAGTGAATACTGAGAATGTACTGAACATCCACTGCTGACGTGGAGATAAGGAAAAAAGCTCCGTAACGCAGCAGTCGGAATTCTTCAATAAAGACAGCTTCAGCATCTTTCTCGTTAGCTGAGGGTAGGGCCATTACGGCAGAAAGTGTTGTACAGTGCAATGGAAGTCAGCACAAAATAAAAAGCTCTGTGCTACTCCTGTGCAGCAGCGTGAGAAGAGCAGCAGCTGCCTGAAGGTCAGAGAAGGGGGCTGTTGAATGGAAGGAAGCTGATTTTCAATCTGAACTGGCAGAATAAATCTCACTGGGCATGTAAATGACAAGGGCTTGGCCCTCTTACCATTACTCACAATGGAGATGCCTTTGTGCAAGTTCAAATGGGGCTGCTCAGTGGCCAACAGATAAGATTTATTTACTGACTCATTGCAGTGTATACAGTTCCTAGAGGTAGCTCTGTATGAGTGTAAGACATTGACAGTAGGTCAGTCAGAACTAGTTCCTACAACGTCAAAACTCAGAAGTGTTTATAGTTGTTCCGAACAGCTGTCTTAGAGAGGAGGAGGTGCAAGGGGGAGAAGATGTATTGTTTCAATATGGGGATAATGGAGCACATTTTTTTAAACTGACATGAGCTAGTGAGTAAAGCAGCAAGGCATCAGCCTGATATAGATGAAGGTAACAGTTTCACTGTTTTTATCTCCCATGAATTGGAAATGATAAAAAGAAAATGCTATGGCCCCTTACAGACAGCAGAATGAACTCAGAATAGTTACCACTTGTTTAAAAAAAAATGGTATTCCTCTCCTTTGTGCCCACTGTTCTTCTCTCCCTGTTCTATTTCAGCTTTTTTCTCGGCACATACAATGTAAACGGACAAACACCGAAGGAAAGCCTCCATCCTTGGCTGAGCTGCACTCCTTACCCTCCCGACATGTACTGCGTGGGGTAAGTCACATTAACCCTGCTGGAGAATAGCCTTGCAATTCTCTGTCTAATCCCATTACACAGACAGGCATACACTGCTCAAACCTCTGACAGATGTATGCAACATTGATCCTGCTTTAAGTAGGAGAGCATGACCACCCACAGATTCAGCACTGTGTGTCCACTGATTCTGCCTATGTTTCAGTTTACTTCTTTGGTGTTGAGGAGTGACAAACCTTTGAGTATGAAAGTATTCGGTAAAGCTCACACATGTGAATAACAATTTGTCCTTCCTAATAGTTTTCAGGAGCTTGACCTCAGCAAAGAGGCTTTCTTCTTCAACGACACCCCCAAAGAGCTGGAGTGGACGAAGGCTGTGTCAGAGGCTTTGCATCCAGATGCCAAGTATGCCTTAGTAAGGCAATCTTTTTTTTTTTCCTCTTTAATTTGGTTTCTTTGTTTTAATTCTTAACCACTATTTGGTATTTGGACTGGACTTGTGAATGTTATTGCACATTCCACCATATGTTATCTGTAGAGCGTGTTTAGTTCTTTTTAGCATGGAGACTGGTACATTATCCAGTTTTGACCAGTCTCACGTTTTTAAAATATTTTGATTGTGGTTGTGTTACAGTAAAGTGGCAGTGCAACTCTTCTTCAATTTCTGCATGTGGCCATAGTAATTGTCTGCACAACACTGTATCATCACATTACCTGGATTATTACACAGGATAATCCTAAGGAACGGACATGATATACCTGCTTATTCGATGAGCTTAGTTAGTTAGGCCTTGTATTTTTGATCTCTTTTGTTTTCCTTTTCCTTGTTTTCATCTACTTCCCTTTTCTCAGAGTGCTGATTCTAGCTTATTAGCTTCCTCCTTTCTTGGCTTGGCTGTTCTGTTGTAGCTATATGAATCTTTGTCAGATGTCTGCATGAGACAGCCATTACAATGATGTGTCTTTTCTTCATCCAATGTTGTTCACACAGATATTTAATAGGATACAACAAAGAAGTTAAGATATGTTATCCAAACTATCAAAGATCAACTTCACTGTGACCCCCTAATTTTATGGCCATTATTCAACACTATAATTGTGAGATTGTCACCATATTTCACGGTTAAAACGGTGCGGTGGGTGTTAATTTTAGATTGCTTCTGTTCTCCTTGAGATAAGAGGGGGTGTGAAACAAATGTTGTCATTATTCATAGCTGTTGCTGTTGAAAAACAGTTTAGATGCTGATAAAAGCAACAAAAACTGCATTAACTGCCTCCTTTATCTGGCTACCGTGTTATTTGAATACCACTGGCTACTTATTAAATATAAATATAGTGCAAATTTGTATGTTGCATCTTTTTCTTTTCCTGTATGAAATGATATTTGTTAATTTACTCATCTTCTGCTACAGGTGAAGTTGGTGCGTCTGGTGGGTATCATGCTGATCTTCTACGTGAAGAAGGAGCATGCAGAGTTCATCTCTGATGTGGAGGCTGAGACTGTCGGCACTGGCATCATGGGAAGGATGGTAAGGACGGATTCTACAGGTGGTATACTTTCATGCACTGGTGCACATGTAGGTTTACTGCTTTTGTGTAAAGATATTACATTATAAACAACACTGNNCAGTGTTGTTTATAATGTAATATCAGAGCGCATACTTGAAGCAAGCTGCCCTTTGTATGTCCACAGGGCAGATACATAAGGGACTGAACCTGTGAATGTGTCATTCACCTCAATCTTTTTTTTATCTTTTTGCTCATGTACCCAAACCAAAATGTTAAACCACTACTGTCGTGGTGTTTGCTTTAACTTCAGTTACTGTTGTTTATAACAAATAACATTGGCATTTTAGCTTGCTTTGTCAGAAATGAAATAAAATGTATTTCATCCTTGCAGAATTTCAAACCAACTTCCAGGCATCAGATGCCAAGAAATTCTTTTAGATATATTTTTATAGACACTTTTGGTAATGTCAGTAGGATTCTCTTTAGCGTCATATAAAGTCCTTCTATTGCTATCATATTAAAGTACATTAATTATGACACACAAGCAGGAAGTGTTGAGTCGCTGTCAACTGTGGCTTTACACAACAGCATTAGATTATTACAGCAAATGAAGGAAGCAGAAATAAACATTTGGACTACCACAATGACAGTTTTGTTTTCTAGTGCTTCCCCGTAATAATTGACTTAATCGTTAGTTGCTGTGAAGAGTCCACTTTTCATGAATTGGATAGTCACAGAATAACAAAAGCAATGTCAAACTCCATTCGGGGTTTGAACTTGTCACTGGGACGGGAAGTATCAGGGGATTGTTGCAACACAGACCTTTACTCTTGTAACACAGCAAGTCACTTACCAGTGCACTGTTGCATATGTGAGCTGTACTGGTTGCTAGGAGTCCTATTAGCTGACTATACCGGAGCGGAGCAGACCAACAGGGGGCCAGCTGATTTACAGCAGCTCCGAAAGGGACTATTATGACTCTGGGGGGGGATTACAGATTACTGTCAATCAAAGGAGCATATATACCTACATACTATGTTTGTTCAAAATCTATTTGCATGACTTCAGTCGTCAGTCAGTGTTGCTTACATTATTCAGAATTAATTTCTCTCTCTCTCTTTCAATCACTTGTTGATTTGCAGGGAAACAAGGGCGCTGTGGCAATCCGTTTTCGCTTCCACAACTCGGACATCTGCGTGGTCAACTCTCACCTAGCTGCCCACATTGAAGAATACGAGAGACGTAATCAAGACTACAAGGACATCTGCGGCCGTCTCCAGTTTCGCCAGCTCGATGCTACACAGCCTCCACTCACTATCATGAAGCACGAGTATGAAACCTGTTAAATATTAGAGAGTTACAATGTCAGGAAGTGTATTAAGTGGTTTCTTCATACCACTACATCAAGGGCAGGCTAATAATTTGTTGTTCATTCATCTGCTTTTTCTTCCAATATTTTGTTAAAATCCAGATAGGTTTGGATTTATGTTAAGGATCGGTATGTTTTGTTTGTAGTAGCTAAATACGATTTTAATTCGAATCTAATTCTTACCCAGTGTCCAACTGTGATGATTATATCCATACTCAAGTTGTCTCCATGTTTTTCTGTGCTTCCCTCACCAGTGTGATTTTTTGGATTGGGGACCTCAACTATAGGATCAGTGACCTTGACGTCGACAATGTGAAGGATCTAATCAGCAAGAAGGACTTTGAAACGCTGCACAATTATGATCAGGTAATATCAACGATGATGTCTGCTTTCTGTTATAATTTCTGTAAAAGTCTTTACACATCATTTGTGTTTGAGTGGTGATACTGACCAGCTGTATATGGTCCTCAGCTCAAGAGGCAAATTGATGAGGATGCTGTGTTTGTTGGCTTTGTGGAGGGAGACATTGATTTCCAGCCCACCTACAAATATGACACCGGCTCTGACAAGTGGGATACAAGGTAACCTCATATAAAGGCCTGACTGTGAATAGCACAGACAAACCTTTTTAGTCAGGCGATCATTCTTTTTAATAATATTATTGTGTTTATTATTTGAAGTGAAGCACTCCAGCAGTGAAACTACTTGTGTTGCCATCCTATCTATTACAACACAGAGAGCAATTCAGCTCTTCCCAGAAATATTAAACACTTTATTCCTTATCCAATTCCCCATTCTTCATTCAATTCACCATGGTTTAATGTTGGTTGAGACTTTCTAGTCTACAAACAAACATCTCCCCATTGACAGAGCTCCATTAAAACCACTGTAGCATGCAAGACCTGCATTGAATCAGAAAACTAAAACAAACTGGTGGCCTTAATAAATTACTTTAGCCACTCAGGTTTCATGCCGTCAGTCGCAGTGTTGTGTGATATTTTGTGCTCTTTCACATCCTGCTCAGAGAATTTCCCTACAGAGATCATATTATTATCTTATTATTAAGTGTGTACAAGTACACAGTAATATGGATGTCATTTTTGCCTTTTATATTTTGATTATTTGCTTATAGTAAACTGTGTAATAAGCACACTTGACCCTTAACATCTCTTCTGCATTTAGTGAAAAATGCCGCGTGCCTGCGTGGTGTGACCGTATCCTTTGGAGAGGGAAGAACATCGAGCAACATCATTATCAGAGTCACATGGCTTTGAAGACCAGTGACCACAAACCAGTCAGTTCCTTGCTTGTCACTGGGGTAAACAATTCAGCCTTTTAACTGATCTCATCTAAAATGTTTTTCATTTAGTTTTTTGTTAGATACAGTAGTCCTCCTCCAGTAGGGAAGTGGAGAAGAGATGATAAACCAATAAAAAGTGCATTGAGATTCAACTTAATCAGCTCACTACACATTAACAGGCTCTAATTTCTTGCATAAGCCTTATAACGTATCTGTTGCAAGTATTATTAAAGGATTGTATAACACATTGTCATCTTTCTTTTATGTTACTGCAGATAAAGAGAGTAAACAGTGAGGCCTATAAGAAGACCTTTGAAGAGATTGTACGCAATATTGACAAAATGGAGAATGAGTGTATTCCATCTGTAACCTTGGCCAAGCGAGAGGTAAGGTTTCCTACCACATTTCAGTCCTATTACAGTGTAATAGGAACTGTAATACCTCTTTGATAGACATTGTACAATAACTTTCTAATAATGTTCATTTGATGAATTCAGTAATTAAACCACCACTAATGAAGCTGTGTATTGATCTTGGGCTGTGAGCCTAATGCTACATGTACATGATATTTTCCCATCTTGTCTCATTGATCCTTCTCTCTTCTTTCAGTTCCACTTTAAAGATGTGAAATACATGCAGCACCAGGCAGAGACATTGAGCCTCTTCAATGACGGACAGGTCCCGTGTCAGTTTGAGTTTATCCAGAAGCCGAATGAGCTCACTTACTGCAAGCCCTGGCTCACAGCCAACCCCCCCAAAGGCTTTATTGCTCAGGGTGAGTGGCACATACAGTCTCATTCTGGAGTCACAGATTTCATTTTAATAAAGCATCGTTAACCTGCCTTTAGGTTTTAGAAATTGATGTTGACTTACAATGGCAGGGTTTTTGTCTTGCAAGATGAAATTTCATCACAGATTGGGAATGTGTTGGTGCTTTACAAATCCTCAAACCATACTACCTCAGTAAGTGCTTGTAGTGACGCTAGCACAACATTTCACTTGTGCAGCAGGCATTTAGTTCCAAAATTATGACAGTTCAACCACACCCTTACTTTGTATGTGCATCTCTCTCAACATCCAGGTGGTTCTGTGGACATTGAGCTTGAAGTTTTTGTAAACCGCTCAACAGCGCCTGATCTTAACTCTGGCAAGGAACAGATTGAAGACATCCTGGTGCTCCACCTGGAGCGCGGCAAGGACTACTTCATCTCTGTGACAGGAAACTACCTGCCAAGCTGCTACGGCACCTCCATCCGTGCATTATGTCATATGAGGGAGCCCATCCAGGACATGCCACAAGAGACCCTCCGTAAACTGGTGAGTGCCACCATGTGCAGAGCAGCAACCTTAAAATACCTCCTCTCCATTCAAGGTTGTCATTTAGGCTACAGTGTAGTATTTTCTTATAGCTTTGCAGATTTGTAGATAAAGACAGAGTCCGTTTTGACTAAACACTCTTTGCTCTGTTTGTTCTCAACTTCAGGCGGAGATGTCTGCAAATGAGAATGCAGTAAACACTGAAAAGCCTCTAGACATTCCTAAAGAACTCTGGATGATGGTGGATCACTTGTTCCGCAATGCAATCAAACAGGTCAGAAAATGTGTTGCTTTTTGGGGAGTCTTTGTAGGTTCATGCCCTATGTAGCGAACCCAGGCCGGACATTAATGAAGCTACTGATGTTTTTAGAAGAGTTTATTTCTGTTCAGCCATCAGCCTTATTCTGAACGTCATTCTTTCTTTTCCTTTCTTAATAAAACACTGTAGCTACATGACCGATAAATTGCATAAATTAGCTCTTATGATCAAACAAAAATAACAACAAGACAGTTAAAAACACATATGAGCCCTTACTAAATTGCAGCAGATGAGCATTTAACTACACATATAACCTTAACCTTTTACGTGTTTGACATATATAACGCTCAGCATATGCATGTTTGCTGAAATATAACCTTACAATTACCGTGTCTTTTTATTTATTTAGACATTTCAATGAAGGCTAACGTTAGCATGACAGTTACGATACAAACATGTACAGTCAAACACTATTAAAATCAACCAAATCACATCAACAATGAACACAGTCATAGAAAACAACTTGTATCAATACAAAACCTTTTGTTTAGGATTAAAGTTGCAGCAACAGTGTAGCAAAACTATGACTACTATGACTCAGTAGTTGTGCCTGCCAGCCAAGTAGCTTTGTAAAGCCTCTGTATTGATTTGGTGGAGGGAATTAATCTTTATTTTTAAAGCTCATGATTTGAGTAATTTAAAGAAAGGTTTGTGCTTTTAATTTTAATTAAATCGACATCCACTGCAGCTCCACCATGCCTCAAACCAAAAGAGCATTTTCTTTGGCCTAAGTTAATCTGTTTGTAATTTAACTTCTTCGCTTAATAAATGTGTTAATATTTATTGTCCTCCATTTGCAGGAAGACATATTTCAGCAACCTGGCCTCCGGAGTGAATTTGCAGACATAAGGGATTGCCTTGACACTGGCATGCCAGATTCTCTACGTATCCTTCGAAACTATTAATATCATAATCATTGGTGGAAAAAAATATTGATCATCTTTATAGAATACTTAAAAAAGGAACACTGTAGTTAAGAATGTATCTGTTTTGATCTCAAATACTACACTGTATTTCTGTGTAATCTGTCTGCCTGATGGTTAACTTTAGTTTAACTCAATTAGTCCTGGGATGCAACAGTGTGTTTTGCACCTCCTACATTTTTAAAACGTGCTGATTCTGCTCAAGAATTATGTCCTTGACTGTATTGACCTGCAGTGGGCAGTAACCACTCAGTGGCAGAAGCCTTGCTTCTCTTCCTAGATGCCCTCCCAGAGCCCGTGGTTCCCTTCTCCTTTTACCAGCAGTGCCTAGAAATCTGCTCCAATGCCAGTCAGTGTGAGAAAGTGAGTGAGAGAGCCTGCAGTTCATTGCTGATCACCATAAGTCTATTCCAAAAGGTGTTCAATTACAAAAGTTAATCTGAGTTTTTTTTTAAAGAATGTTAAATGTTTCTGTCTTCAGGTAATTTCCATGCTACCTCAGTGCCATCAAAATGTGTTCAACTATTTAGCTGCCTTTCTCCGTGAGCTGTTGAAGAATTCCTCTAGCAATCGATTGGATGTCAACATCTTGGGTAAGAAAAGGAAGCACGTTGCACTTCAGGCACCTTCATTCTTGAATGCGTTATTATTAGCTGTTTCTTTATTCTTTAGTCAGCATGTTGAGTTACTGAAGGGAAACAAATAAAGCAATGGAAAATGAAAATGAATGAAAATCCTTCTTATTATTCTGTTCTGTTTATGACTCAGACTGTTTGCACGTATTATCTTTCCACTATTCAGTGTGAAACAAGCTGTTTCTGTAAAAGAGAATGTATGCTCACCCAACCTGTTCTGCAAGAAGAAAGGCAACAAAAGGAATAAACATGGTTATCTCATCACATTCGATAAAACATGCACAACAATTTAACTATTATTAAATATAATACAACATTAGAACAAAGAAAACCTTTTGTTTCACTATGTAATATGAATTTATTTTCTTTCTGCATAGCCACCATTTTTGCCTCCTTACTCCTGAAGTCACCTACAAAGCAGGATCTTGCAGAAAAGAGGAAGACTCAGGAGTTCTTTCAGCACTTCCTGACCCAAGGCTCCACCTAAATGGAAGACTTGAAGTTGAACACTAAAAACTGTACAGTCCAGTATTTGAAATAAACTGTAATGATTTCTTATATTCTTAGATGGCTCTTTGTATAGATAGAGTATAATTACTGTAAGTGACAGTTCTTCTGATATTAGTTTGTTTCAAAGCGATGTTTGTGATCTGTTGATGCACAAAGTGTATTGTATATCATTGAGCATCTGTAAAGATAACAAATTTTAATGTATGTATATTTTATTTAAAAAATAATTTGTATTTTAATGTTTCTGATCTCAACGGCCTACTGTTTTTATATATAAAACTGTTGGAAACAAGGTGTGTGTCACTGGTGATTCAATTTTATTATTCTCAGACCATATATA